CCATCACTGAATTAGCAAGCGAGTGCTTAGCCCGCCACTGCCTCTCTGGTGCACACCAACATTGCTGAGAATTCAAATAGTCTTCCTCCTTTTAGACTGTTTCAGTCTTCATCGGGGCACATAAACCAAAACAAACGAAACCAAGCCCAAAATGCACCATTTAAGTTCCTTCTCAGAGTGTTACAGCCAGTTAAAGGAAACAGAGAAGAAAGCTGCGCATAAGTTTGTGCTGGGCTCCAGGATCTGGGGGAGGTCATTTGAGGCCCTGGGAAATTGAAGGGTATCTCGTCTCCAGTCTGAAGTGAGCCTTTAAAATGCATTCGTGAAGTTAATGAAAGAGAGGCTTTGTGAGACCTTTCTGATCTTAATGAAGATGAAGGGGTGTGGGTCAACAGCAAACAGCCAGAACATTGTGAAAATTGAACAGCCGGATGAAATGTTTTCATTAATTTGAGCCAATTTGTTTGACATCGGCCTGCTTAATTATCTGTTTGGGTAGACTTCTGTAAGGAGATGTTGATGCTGAAGTAATGTCTCCCAGCCATCAAAAAGTCTGTGTATTTTCCTTTTTCTATGGTGTATGCAGAATGAAGACTTGATTAACACAGGCTTAACCCACCCACAGCTTAAAAACGCAGACTTTTAGAGATGCAAGTTCCCAATAGAGGAGGGATAGTGAATTAAAATTGGGAGACCTGGCTTCTGGCCTCGGGTCCACTTCTAACTTGTTTACGAGTTTGCTTGTACAGGTCTCTGAATTCCCCCTCCCCCAACATATCTAAAATAAATAACTACAAGTCTGCTTCTAGGCCCAAATTCTATTCTGTTCTAAGGATGTGATGATCCGGGCGTTGTGGATCCCTGCTCTCCACCAGTCAGCTGTCACTCAATGGTACGTCACATTCCGCAGAAAAAGAGTTCTAAGAATTTGCTTTGATTATGGCTCTCCGTGTACCATGCTAGGAACAATTGTTTCCCTTGAAAAGTGCAAACTTTGCTGATTGCACGATCCTGTAACTTAAAGTTCTAAATCATTCCCATTGTGCTCTCTGGCCAAGGGTTCCCCTGGGAATACATTTATAATCTAGACTTGAGACTCGGAAGTATCATTTTTCTAAGGGGCAAGGTAAATAGAGCCTTCTGATTATCAGTTAGGTTACCAAACCCAAGTGCTGTGCCTACTTGGAGGAAAACCTCACATAAGTCAGGGGTTTGGAGGCCACGTTTATCCCAGGACAGCACCCTGTCTTCACAGGGTGTCAGCTTCAGATTGGTACCCCATTTGCACCTCTATCAGGGTCCTTCCATCACTATTGCACATGCAGCATTGTGATGGCATCAAGGTGATAGAGCTGGTAGGTCACGTGGTCACTTATAAACAGCCTCATTGCCTTTAAGTGGGACCCTTCTGGAAGCCCCTGAATTGTGGTGCCAGCTGAGTCCCTGTGACCAGGAAATGCTCATGTATCTCATGTATCCGTTTTAGTCAAGGTGAATCACTGCCTTCTTTTAAATGAGAAGAGTTTGGTCTATTTGACTTGCCACCAAATTACTATTAGCCAACATAGAGTCCCACTCAATGTTACTCTCTCCTGCTGGGAGGTAGTATATTTATTACTGACAGTTACTGGTCATGGAAAGCCAGAGTCCATGTCGCTGAACTCAAATGTAGCTAGATATTGACTGTGAGATGCTCCCAGAGAATACACAGAGACTTGGGTGAGGCCACTTCCTTTGGCCACAGGCAATTTCTATAGAGGGTTTTGATGATTAGACACCAGAGACCAAAAGTCCCAGTACTGGAGAGAATAAGTTCTTTGGTCTCAACTAGGTAGTAGTTCCATCATCTTTAGCAGGCTTTTTCTTGTCCATTTCATGACCATGGGACCTTATCACACCCTAAGGATGAAGATGGCAGAGCAGGGGTCATGGACCTGAGTTTTGGCATCATATCTGAGTTGCCAGACAGTCTGGGACAGCCTATCTCTGTGCTTCTTAAGGAAACAAAATGTCCTTTCTCCTGAACGCACTCGGAGCTATCCATCTGCCTGGAATCAAAGTCGTTCTAACTCAGGAACCAGCATAGATAACCCTGTTCCCACGTGTCCTATGAGATAAGTATAGTTATCAGTCCCATCTCGCTTAATACAGGGTAGAAAAAAGGGGGGAGTCGGTTTATGAAAATAAAGGATGACATGAAGTTACTCCGAGAAGGAAGGGAATGGAGTTACTTTTCCAAGTCTTTCGCCACGGATGGGATTTAGAGATCAAGCCTCAGCAGGAACCACAAGCCTCGAGTGTTGGCTGCTGCACTGACCACCTTCCCAAACACCACTGTCATCTTCGCTAGTCCTGCGCGGAAGCCCTCGAGATGGGGCCAGTGAAGGATATGGAGAGAGAATGGGGGTCTGTGGGTAGCTTTGCTCAGAGGAGCCTATCTGTAGCCTTCCAGAGCAACCCGATCAAGAGTACAATACAGTTGACTTTACTGATGCTTACAGTTCAGGTCTGCCCACTTGATTACAACTGAAAGGACTAGGCAATACAACAAGCTGGTTTGTAATATCCTCCATTGCTGTGGCCGTGTGGCATCCAAGGGAAGGGAATTGCATGTATGTTTGAAACAGGCAAAGACTTCTTTCTCGGGGGCCTTCTGCCCTGACATGGGCTTCTGCTTCTGAAATCCCTGCTTGTTTGGTTATGAAGGTCCCATGAGCGTTCAGTGTGGCATGGGACTCTCCCTGTCCAGCTGTTTGATCTGTGCTCTTTCGGAGGAGGTACAGAACAGCTGGTCACCAGCTCCCAGCGTCTTATAAGTTACTACTCCGGAGACCTTTCACCTCTCACCTGACCTGCCCAGACTGCTGAAGACTTCACACTTGGGTCTCACAACAGTAGAAAGAAGGCTGACATTGATTACATTCAGTTAATACTTAAATTGGGATTTCTATATGTCAGACACAAATATTACCATCATCTTTATAAACCTTAATTCATCTAATCCTCGAAAGACTTATGGAGTAGGCTCTATTGTCAACCCTATTTCACAGGTGAGAATTGTCTCAGCGGTTGTTAACCTTCCTAATGCTGTGACCCTTAATACAGTTCCTCATGCTGTGGTGACCCCCCCAAACATAAAATTATTTTTGTAGCCACTTCATAGCTGTAATTTTGCTACTGTTATGAATTGTAATATGACTATCTGTGCATCCCAGTGGTCTTAGGGGACCCCTGTGAAAATGTCATTCAATTTCAAAGGAGTCGTGACCCACAGGTTGAGAACCACTGGTCTAGGACAAGGCAGAACCAGGATTTTACTGAGTTATCTTAACCAGTAGCCACCCTGGCTGTGGTTTGGATAAGTGTCTCCAAAGGAGTTTGGTCCCAGGATGGTGTATTGGAAGGCAGTGGAGCCTTGCAGAGCGGGAACCCTGTGGGACAGTCCTAGGTTACTAGGCCATACCCTCCAAACAGATTACAGAGGCACATTTTTTCCTCTTTCTCTTTGCTTCTGGGCTGTGGCATAAATTCCTCTGTGTGCTCCCCCTTGTTAGGATGCACCATCCCAAGAGGCCCAAAGGAAAGTGGCCCCCTGGGCTCTCTTAAACCTTCAGCTGGAATAAATCTTTGTCCTTTAAAGTTAATTGCCTCAAGCGTTTCTTTACAGTGATCAAAATCTAACACCAGCAGCACCCAAGGCACAAGAGGGACAAAGGTAGATGAAGCAATTTATCAATAATACTGAGAGTTACACAGAAACATTTCTAAAAGCCGTGTAGAGTTTAAAGAAATTGCTGGAGAGATGGCTCAGTGGGGAAGAGCCCAGGCTGTTCTTCCAGAGGACCCAGGCTCAATTCCCAGGACCCACATGGCAGCTTACAACTGTAACTCCAGTCCCATGGATCCAGTGCCCTTTTCTGGCCTCTGTGGGCACCAAGTATACACATGGTGCACAGATAGGCATTTGGGCAAAGCCTTTATGCACATAAAATAAAACTAAAAAAAATTTAAAAACTAAAGGGGCATTTAAAAAGAGAGGAAAGCGTTGGGAAATATTTGTGTGCACTCTAAAGACGTGTCTCAGCCTAAGGAGTCTTCCGACTTGTTTAATAAAGAGCCGAATGGCCGATATTTAGGCAGCAGAGAAGGGGGATTTCTGGGAATACAGAGGAAGAGGAGGAGGCATCTAGGCACTCGGGATTCACCAGTCAGACACAGGGAGAGCAGGATGTGTAAGACAGAGACGAGGTAACAAGCCACATGGCAGAATGTAGATTAAAAATCATGGGTTAATTAAGTTATAAGAGCTAGTGGAAAGCGTAAGCTAAAGGCCAAGCTTTCATAATTAATAAGTCTCTGTCATTATGTGCAGGCTGGTGGCCCTGACAAGAAAGCACCACTGCAAGGGAGTGGTGTAGATTGTTCATGACGCGGGTTTTACCTCTGGGTTTCCAAAGTTGTCATTTTTAAGCTTTGTGGAATACATGCAATGGTAGAGTAAGCCGACTGATGGAAAGCTAACCCGTCAAGTCTGTACCCATTCCTAAGCCATCACTTACGTTTATATTCCTCTGTGCATGAGAGCAATAGGTACGTACACAGTGGGAAGAATCAGAAAAGCACACCACCCAAAGCCAATCTCATCCCCGAATCCTGCTACCCAGAAATCGCTGGTGTTCTCAGAGAAGTGTGTTCTAGCCGTCTTCCCATGTGCATATCCATCCATCTGTCTGTTGACTGGCTTATAAAAAGTGGCTCTTCACATCAGAGGGAGACGCATTATTCACAGAAAAACAATATATACTTATTTTAATGTTCCAGTATGTGCTAAGTGTTCTCCTAGGGTTGTAAAAATCATAAAAGCAATACAGCATTGTTATAAAAACATTATTAGGCCAGAAGTAAATCATCAATAATATATACCAGAGGTTTTTTTCAAAGACTGCAGAAATGTTCTTGTGTTTATTCATGCTAAATGGTAGAGGAACTTAAAAGCATAATTTTTTATTTTCAATAATGTTTTTATTAATTATTTGAAAATTTTATACAATATATTTTGATCATATTCATCTCCCATCCAAATTCATCTCGGAATCCCAGGTCTTCCTCACTTGCCCAACTTTATGTTCTCTCTCTCTCTTTCTCTCTCTCTCTCTCTCTTTCTCTCTCTCTCTCTCTCTCTCTCTTTCTCTTTCTCTCTCCCTTTCTCTCATTGGGGCCAGTTTGGGTTTATCTGACTACTTCTAGGCACGGAAACTGTCCTATTGACATAGTAGGTGCCACACCCTTAAACAAAGTTTAATGTCCCTCTTCCAGCAGCAACTGAAAGCCAGAACCTCCTCAGCTAGGGTAGGAGCTTCATCCTGTCTGCCTGCCAGAGTTCCTAAGACCACAAACGTTCAGTCTGTTGAAGTCACCACGGTGTCCTCTCACGTGACTTGTTATGTTCTCTGCACTACCCAGACAACAGCGTTCGCTCCTCGAGTCAATCCAGGTGGCGCCACCACTGTTTCACGATTACTTTATTAGTGATCTGATCCTAAAGACCGACTCCAAGGCAGACAGAACAAAGAGCAGAAAGGATAATTAACACTGTGATTCTTCCAACACTGCCCAGAGAGTTTTCAGGAAACTTGCCACAGCCATGGAGCATGCTGTACCTGGAATACAGAGATCCACAAAATGCCTTGCTTAACTAGGAACAAAGAAAGAATTGTTTCACACAGAAGAAAGCAATCAGTCCTTAGTTGAATTTTCTTGTAGGTCAGCACACAGTGATCTCTAGCATCACAACCGACTGGATCCATAATGTCACAGCCTGGATGACAGCTTCCTCTTGACTGTCCCAGTAATTTTGCCGTAGGGATTGTCGAGTGGCAGCAAAACCTGTAAAAAAAAAAACCACAGAGAAACTTCAGGGATTTGAGGACAGCGTTCCCCTTTCTAAGATCCAGGATTAAAGCAAGGATGTTATGGGTTGTCATGGACGAAACTGAGTACTGGGCAGTAAAATTACCTCAAGTCCAGCAGTGCCAGGTTTTCCTTCAATAGTCAATAAGTTGATGTTTCGGAAAATATAGGAATTTTGAGAGTGTTCTATGCTGTTTTGAGCTATCATGTATATGTATCAATGTGTATGTGTGTATGATATTCATGTATTTGTTCGTGTGTGTGTGCGCGCGCGTGTGCTTGCACATGTGTGTAAGAACTGGGAAGGGGGTTGTGTGTGTCACACTATTCTTGTGGGGGTCAGAGTGACATTTTGTGTAATTGCATCTCTCTTGTACCTTTATATGGGTCCCAGGGTTCTAACTCAGGTCACCAGGGCCTGTGTATCCAGTGCTTTTCCTGCCAAGCCATCTTCCAGACCTCCACCTTGTTTTTTGAGACAGCGTCTCTCAGTGAACTTAGAGCTCATCAATTTAGCAAGGCTGGCTGACCAGTGAGCTCCAGGGGTCCTACAGCCCCCACTTCCTCAGTGCTGTAATTATTGATGCATGTCACAGCTGACGCATGTTAGAGGTGACATGTGTTACAGCTGACACATGTTACAGTTGACACATGTTATAGCTGATACATGTCGCCGTTGACACGTGTTACAGCTGACACCTGTTACCGCTGACACATGTCACAGCTGACACATGTCACAGCTGACACATGTCACAGCTGACACATGTTCCAGCTGACACATGTTACAGCTGACACATGTCCCAGCTGACACATGTCACAGTCGACACATGTTACAGTTTACACATGTTACAGCACGTGGCTGTTTACATGGGTGCTGGGGAACAGAGCTCAGGTCCCCATGCTTACTCAGCAAGTGGTTTACTAACCAAGCCACTTCACCTGCCCCCAAGAAGCATGTTGTTTGTGTGTTAGCCATTATGATATAGTTCTAAATGCACTATACAGTCCTGCCTTTTAAAAGGCAATGAACAAATTTGACCTTTTTAGACAACTCACTTTGGATATCATTGGTCTTAGCTCTAAAGCAGCAGCCATTCCCTGCACATCACCTGAGGGCCACAGGGCTGGCAGTGTAATGCTAAACGGATCCAGACAGCTGGGTGACTGAGCCAGCGCCCTCAGTGTGAGCACACTGCTCAGGCACAGGTTGTTTATTATTATTATTATTATCATTATCATTATCATTATTATTACTGCAGAGAACTCAGGGCTTCCTATTTCCCAGCCCTGCTGGGATCTAGGAAGGGTCATCTTCTGCAGCTTCTTTTTATATTCCTCACTGCAACTTCGAGCCCCTCCACAAAGACTCATCCACGTCCAGCTCTGGAGGACATGCATACAGTCCTAAGGCTCAGGGGACCCCTCAGAAACCCTCTCGACTTCACTGGGAGCCATTCATCAGATCCTTTTCTGTTTGGAACTCATTGTTTGCCTCTGGCAGACATGGTCCAGACTGTTTTCTATCCCTGCCTTTTAGCGAGTAATCACACCAAAAAGTGTTCTGTCCTCGTTCACAAATGAGGCTCATTGCCATCTTTCCCTTCCTTAAGGTAAATAGAGCTGTCTGTCCTTTCAGTTCAATGAACTTAGGGCCAGACTTTCCCTCTCCTGTCATCCAGGGCCCTCTACCATTTCTTATAAGGTACATAAGCCTCATGCTTGTTTTCCAGCACCCAGGCAAGCATCCGCCACGGCTGATGGTGCAGAGTCAGCGGAACCCACCAGCACTGTTTGCCAAAGAGAAATCAGGTGTCTGGTCAGAGGGGTTGAAAGTCTCCTGGGTCAGAAGTCCCAGAGTGTAAGAGCTCCTCTTCTGTTAACCTTGTGCGTCCACGCATGTGGGGTGCATTAGCAGGGACGGTCTCTTCGCTACCCCCGCATATACAGTAAACACAGTTCCCCAAAATGATGCTGCAGTTGACTCAAAGTGCCAATCACTGAAAATGTCCATGGTGCAGGGTCAGTTCTGATCTCCCAGGAAGTGACCACGGAGGCCACCAATTAAAGCTCCTGGCTGCCTCGCTGTACAATCTGATTGTCATGGCTAAAAAGAAGCCAGAGCGGTGTATCTCCTGAAACAAAGGTTCCCTTTGAAAAACACGGATTTCTTAGTCTTGCCGTCTGTAGCACAAACACACTTTCATCTCTCCCAAGTGTATTGTGCGCTCCCGAATTGGCTACTTAATCAAAAGGTGGGCGCGATAAAAGAGAATGAAAATACAATCTTGCCTTCTCCTCATCGCCTGGCAGTGGAAGAATAAAGCAGCTGCGACCTTCCACGCCACTTCCCAAGGAGATCTCAGAGCTGTTTCCTTGGGCACACTCTGTTCCTTCTCTTTGTTCCCCCTGCAACTTACAGCTCTCCTCTGTAATTACTCATCCACTTCTAGAGTGCTCAGCCTCGGGCCCTGAAAGACCCGGCGCTGAAGAGGGTTCTAATCAGTGCCGGCTATAAATACTCCCCACAGCCAGCAGCTGCTACAGGTTTTAGGCGGTGATATTGTCCCCAGTTGACGAGGAAACTGAATGGCGATGAGGCAGAAATATGCTGCCGGTGTTTTGAAAGCCCTCTTACCTCTTCCTTGTTGATCAGTCCCATTTTGGACATGTCGATGTTAACGTAGTGGATGTTGGGAAGGCTGATTTCCATCTCCTCTATCTGGAATCCACAGAGCATATGTTATGCTTGGCACTGGAGTCCCTCCCTTCCTCCGTCTTCCTCACTCATCTTCCTGTGAACGTGGTTGTATCTTTAAGGTACTCTCCCATGCTCCTCTGCTGCCCATCACCATCCCCCATTAGTCTTCCTATGAGACAGGTGGCAGGCCTATTCTTCTCCCCTCAGTATAAAAACTCGGAAAAGCTCAGGCTCCCATTGATAGGCCCTAGGATAAGTGTAAAACTGCAAACCCATATACATGGCATAGGTTTAGTGAACTCTGCTTTTCTAATTTACAAAAATACTTTTGCTAAGCCTATAAGGTCAGGTTGTGATTTAAAATTCTGACCCTTTGTGGTACTGTGCCAGGACTCGGGAAAAGCCAGCCCCAGGCCTTGGGCCAAACTATCTTCTCTCCTGGATCATACGGATGGATATTCTCCTGGTAAAACAAGCCATATCCATCTCTCTGGTCCCTAAGAATATGCACCTCAGTGGCAGAATCCTCCAAGTACAAAGTGGGTCTCTAGGAGAGATGTGCCCAAACCTCCAGGCTATTGGGTAAAAAATCCTGGGGCAGCCGTGAGCCCCTGAAGAGCTCGCTGCCTTAGCTTTTCCAGCTCTGCCCGGAGCAGGCAGCAGAAAGCGTGAAGGAGGATTGCTGCAGTGCTAGGCAAGGTAGAGAAGTCCCTCTGGTCCAGGGGAGGCTTCTTTCCTTTCGTTCCACATGGCCTTGGCCTTACTTCTATAACTTCATTCAGCAGGACTCCTGGCCTGTGGTCTGTCATGCTTTCTATCGTACTGCTACCAGTGATGACTCTAGAATGCAAATCCTGCCATGCTGTACTTTGCTGTAACAACCCAGTGACCTTCGGTGGCTCTCCAAATAAAGCATAGACTATAAATAAGCCTAGAAATGCCCTCTTGACTCATTGCCACCGTATGCCTGCACACAGGAAAATCCTTCCTTCCTAACGTGCCACAGATGGCTGGCCCTCGACAGTAAATGTCTATGTCATGCTCTTTGTGCTGCTGCTCCTGCACCCTTGAGTATAAACCCAGATTACTCTTGCTTGTTTCTGAAGACTGAGCACACCCCTCTCCTTCTAGAAAATCTGTCTGGTGCTGCCCCTTATACCTGAGTTAGACTCTCTTCTCCCGTATGTCCATAATAGCCTACTGCCAATATATTTTTAAACTTCCTTGTTTTCTTTGTTCAATTAATGATGGATTCTTAGAGTGTAGGGACAGTGTCTAGCTTATCCTTGTATCCCTTGAGTCCTGCTAGAGGCACAATGTCCAGAGATATCAATAATAGAGAGATGGATGGGTGGGAGGGTGGGTAGATGGATGGGTGGGTGGGTGGATAGATGGATGGGTGGGTGGATAGATGGATGGGTGGGTGGGTGTATAGATGGATGGGTGGGTGGGTGGATAGATGGATGGGTGGGTGGGTGGATAGATGGGTGGGTGGGTGGGTGGATAGATGGATGGGTGGGTGGGTGGATAGATGGGTGGGTGGATGGATGGATGGATGGGTGGGTGGGTGGATAGATGGGTGGGTGGATGGATGGATGGGTGGGTGGGTGGATGGATGGATGGATGGATGGGTGGGTGGGTGGATAGATGGATGGGTGGGTGGGTGGATAGATGGATGGGTGGGTGGGTGGATGGATGGGTGGGTGGGTGGATAGATGGGTGGGTGGATGGATGGATGGGTGGGTGGGTGGATAGATGGGTGGGTGGATAGATGGGTGGGTGGGTGGGTGGATAGATGGATGGGTGGGTGGGTGGATAGATGGGTGGGTGGGTGGATGGATGAATGGGTGGGTGGGTGGATAGATGGATAGGTGGGTGGGTGGATGGATGAATGGGTGGGTGGGTGGATGGATGGATGGATGGGTGGGTGGGTGGATGGATGAATGGGTGGGTGGGTGGGTGGATAGATGGGTGGGTGGATGGATGGATGGGTGGGTTGGTGGGTGGAAGGAAGGAAGAATGGAAGGATGGAGTAAATCTCTCTACATCTATCACTCATACCTTGAAACGTATAACCTCTGTCTAGTTATCTCTCCCTCAAGGCATGGAAGTGACCTGAATTTGAAGTTTAAATCTGTGGTAGGCTGAGGAAGCTCAAAGAATTTTCAGCAGACCTGAAGCCCTGTGGTAGCGGCCTGTGTTTTTAGGCTGAACAGATTTTTCCATTTTCTGCTCTTCTCACTTGCTATAACAAGCTTTTGAACAACAACAGATGTCACTTCTCATGTGTCTTCCACTTTCCTATTTTAACACTCCACTCTTCCTCGGAGCTGACAGGAGACACAGTTTCTCTCCATCCTCAGAAGGGCGAGTGACAAAGCATACCTCAGGAACCTGGTTCAGGGACAGCACTTGTATGTCATAGAGTGTCTTCTGCACGGAAGGTGAGTATTCGCCTTTGTCATAGGGCCCAGCAAATTTCTGCAAGACGATGTCCCGGACAGTGCCCCTAGAACACAGAATGGGAGAAGACTGAAGGAGTTGGTTGAATCTGTTAGGGATGCACTATAAAGCTAAGAAGTAGAAAACCCAAAGTAGAAGTACCCAAAAACCATTGAATGGATGGTTTTAGAAAGGATTATTTTCCTGTAATGCCAAAATGAAAATAAGCAAAATTCACTTCACATCTTCCTCTTGTGCGCTCTCTCTCTCTCTCTCTCTCTCTCTCTCTCTCTCTCTCTCTCTCTGATACAATCTGAAAAAGAGAGCCTGGGAAGATAGCTTGCCATGTGCGCATAGGGATCTCTCTCTTTCTCTCTCTCTCTCTCTCTCTCTCTCTCTCTCTCTCTCTCACACACACACACACACACACAGCACCTAACTGTTCTCACAGAGTGATACCAATGTCAAATAACATTTCAGCATCAATCATCTACCATGTATGCAGACAGACTGTGCAAGGAACACACACCCAAACTCTCAGCCTCTCCCTGCTTTGCAGGGCTATATCCTTGAACTGTTGCCTCGGGGGTCTTAGTGTCATCCTGTAAGCCAAACACCTATGTGATTAAAATCCACGAATCTCTAATGCAGTTGAGGGGTGCTGTGATTGTCCCCCATTTAGAGATGATGACTCTGAGCTCACAACTTAAACCATCTCCTCTGAGTCCTTTGTCTTTAGTGGGAGGCCTGGAGCTCTCCCCTGCTTGGCACCTTCAATCTGAGTATCTTCTCAGCATTGATACAGAAGGCTCCAGCTACCCAGGGAGAGCACTAGAGCGAAAAGAGGACTAGGGTGAGGCTCTTCTTCGAGCACTTAAAAGCCTGTCGCATAATAAAAAGAGCAGATAAAAACTCCAGTGGGAGGATGCTCTGTGCAGAAGGAACAGATTCCAGCTCATCTCGGGGTAGAAGTATCTAAGGATTAGCGGTTCAGCAAAGAAATGAGATCTGAGTGTTCAGAAGCCTACAATCCCTTGTCGGAGACAGCATAAAACTCACACCTTTACACGGTTAAAGCATTTGTCATTTACTCTGTCTGTGTGTGTGTATATCTGTCGTCCTGTGTGTGTGTCTGTGTGCCTGTGTGTGTGTCTGCCTATGTGTGTGTCTGTGTGCCTGCATGTCTGTCTATGTGCCTGTGTGTGTGTGTCTGTGTTTGTGTGTGTGTGTATGTGTGTCTGTGTGCCTGTGTATGTGCCTCTGTGTGAGTGTCTGTCTGTGTGCCTGTGGGTGTGAGACTGTGTGTGTCTCTGTGTGTGTTTGTGTGTGTGTGAGGCTGTGTCTCTGTGTACCTGTGTGTGTCTGCCTGTGTGTGTGTCTGTGTGCCTGCATGTATGTCTGTCTATGTGCCTGTGTGTGTGTGTCTGTGTTTGTATGTGTATGTGTCTGTGTGCCTGTGGGTGTGAGACTGTGTGTGTCTCTGTGTGTGTTTGTGTGTGTGTGTCTGTGTGCCTGTGTGTGTGAGGCTGTGTCTCTGTGTACCTGTGTGTGTCTGTGTACCTGTGTGTGTCTGTGTGTCTGTCTGTATGCCTGTGTCTGTGTGTGTCTCTGTGTGTTTGTGTGTATGTGTCTGTGTGCATATCCATGTATAAAGATGCACGCACACGTGTAAGCATCCATATGGAGCACAGAGGTCAGCCGCAGGTGCCTTTGTCAGACGCTCACCATTTTTTTTTTCCTTTAAGACCAGGTCTTTGATGTTTACCTGGAATTTGCCACTTATTCAGTCAGGCTGGATGTCCCGCGAACTGCATAAAAGCGCCTGGCTCCATCTCCCCACCGCTGGATTACAACTATACACCTTGATGCCAGCCTTTTATATGTGAGTTCTGATGCTCAGATGCAGATCCCCATGCTTGCCGTACAAATACTTTACTGAATGAGCTCTTTCCTTAACCCCATTAACAAAACACTTATAGGAATATTAGAGAACTTGGAGCTTAGCCTGTGAGTGACCAACTGTCACCATTTCCCCAAAACCAAGGGGTTTCCTGGGACATACAAGTTTCAGTATTGAAACCAAGAAAGTCTCTGGAAAGCTGGAAGGGATTGAAAGCTTAGGTCAGGGCTTCTGTATTGCTGGAAGGCTAGATATCATCTTCATTGATGGAGTACAGTAGCAGAAATGTCACTTGGGATGTTGTTAGCAATGCAAATTCTCCCAGGGGCCCAGGAGTGAGCCCAGTGACCTTTATTCTAATAATGTCTTGAGTAATTCCACGGCACACTAATGACTGAGAGCCTCTGATGCAATCTGAAAAAGAGAGCCTGGGAAGATAGCTTGCCATGTGCGCATAGGGATCTAAGTTCCATCTCCAGCACCCACATTAAAAGCTGCAAATTATGCTGCATGCTTAACCCCAGCCCTGAGGAGAACACAGGAAGATCCTGGGCTAGCCAGCAAGCCTAGCCTAACAAGCAAGTCCAAGGCCCTGTAAGAGATGGTCACAAACATCGAGGTGAATAACTCCTGGGGAAAGCCACCTCAAGTTGTTGTCTCCACATGCACACGCATACAAGTGCATGCACACTTACACACACACACACACACACACACACACACTGGGGTGGGGTTCCGGAAGAACTAGGAAGCTGAGTTGACTAGCTGCTAAGTTTCTTCTTTGACCCAAGACTCCATTAACCTGGCCTAGTCCTAGCTCCCAGTGCTGGCTTCTCATACCACGTAGCCTCAAAGTCCACGTCCCTTCTCTGGTAGCGCCACTTGCAGTAGACTTGAGTGGCAAAACATCGGTCCTTCACCTCGGGGAGCGTGGTAAACTGGTCCTTGATGAATCCTTCAAATCCTGACTGGGTTGTTTTCAAGACCTTGAGGTCTTTGATCCCAGAGTGGATGACTGGAGGTCCTGTTTCAGACAGAAGGGGAGGGAGGGTGAGCACCAGCAGAACAGTGTCGCTACCGATAACTACAACAGCCGTGAAGATCCTGGCTGTAGAAACACACACACTGTCTCTCCATCTTCTCGTGTCCTGGGATTCCTTCCCTATGGATTTCCAGGCTCTCAGCCCTGTCCTGCCCGAGGAGAAGAGAAGATCCAAGGATATACCCATCCATGTTGGACTGGTTTCCTCCCAGGGACCTGTGAGGACATCTCAGCCAAATCACCTTACAAATCACAAGGTGCATGCCATTCCAACATCAGTGGCTCTGACATGATGGGTGGGATCCTCAGGAGTTTGTCTTTTCTCTGCCACTGAGATCTCTTTCCGGCAATGTGTCCTCCTGGTTGATCTACAGTGCCTGGCGACAGGCTTCACTACACCCTGAGAACACTTGATGCCCTGGGGGATATAAGCTCAGCCAAGACCAGACAGCTTTAGGAGTGAACAATAGTGTGGACCTGACTGAAATCAAAGAGAGGAAAAATAAGGTGGTTGATGCAGGCATTGACCTGTATCGTCAATGATATCCATTGTTATCAGTTGATACTTATAGAGACTGGCTTTAGGCTGAAGCTGCTTCATGAGTATCAGAGGTTGGAGAAAGGATAAAAATGATGAAAGGGATGGCTTGCCACCTTCCCTCAAAGGGACTGGATGGTGGATAAGCACATTTGGAGGATGCGGCTTACTGTGTGCCAAGTAGTGCTAGCTCAGGGCCTGTGGCAGCATCCTATTACAGAAGCATCTAGGGCCTTCTAAGAGACTGGAATTTTTGCTGGACCTCATCATAGCCAGAGTGCAGAATGCACACTGATGTCACTCAAGACTTGAGACTGCTGCCCTACTGGGTACTCAGCCCGTTTGTTTAACCTGCTTTTCATAAAAACAGCATAACAACCAACCTTACTTGCCTTGAATTTCCCAGATAATCTACTTTTACAACCTAGGTTGATGTATAGCTTTAATCTGAAACTGGACCCACGCCCTGAGCAGAGAGCAATCGATGTGCGTTATGACTCTCACTTGCTGAAAATAGTAAATAGAGCAAAAGCAGCCCTATGAAATAGCAATCAGCCATAAAGAGTGAGCGCAGCACACAGATATGGCTTGATAATATTGTTTGTTGTCTGGGTCAGCTGGGGTCAGTAGAGCCTCATTCTTTCCAGAACTCTGTTGAAGATTTCTGAAAAGCATCCTTCATCCCCTCCCCATGCCATTCCTTCCAGCTCATCAATAAACACAGAGTAAAAGCCCTTTGTTAGGGACACATGGTCAGCTGGGTTGACAAGACAGGCAGGCAGGCACAGATTCAGATTTATACAACAGACAGAAGACACGAGGAGAGAGAAGTAGAGAATTCAGATCTGGGCTTGCTCCTGGTCAAACTACACCCGGAGGAAGCCTTGGATTCCTCTTCCTTGATGCCACAGTGACTGGCCTTGGGTTCTCACGAATGCATTTAAGCCACGCAAGGACCCAGATAACAAAGGCTTTGCCCAGAGTGAGGGAGGGGCCGTTCTTCATCTTTACATATAGAAAAGAACTGTAGGTCTAGCAGTGTAGTGGGACCTAGATAGAACACGGCACTGACACACTGGGAAGGAAGAAGATTTCCTCCCAGGAGAAGTCGTGGCTGGCAACAGAAGCCAGGCAGAGCAGACTTCTTCCTGAGCAAGCTCTCAGAAGGTGAGGGAGTTTGGATGGACAGCTGGAAGTTCATTACTGAGAAATCTGCAGCACCACAAAATCCAGAGTGAACACCAGCATGACTTTATTTGTGTGTGTAGGCTGGTGAGGACAGAGGACATTTAGGGAGCATTTGAAAACCCCTAAAGTCCCATAGCACTATTTATTTATTTATTTATTTAGGTTTTGGAGCTTGTCCTGGAACTAGCTCTTGTAGACCAGGCTGGCCTCAAACTCAAAGAGATCTGCCTGCTTCTGCCTCCCTAGTGCTGGGATTAAAGGCATGCGCCACCACCGCCCAGCTCCATAGCATGATTCTTAAGGCTACTTCTTTTCAGTCTCTAAGTTGTTCCTGACAGATAGCTATCCTTCATGGCCTGTCTAGTCAAAAAGTCAAAAGTCAGAGTTTCTGGGCATCACTATATGTTCTTAGTAAAGGGAGAAGAAAATTCATAGTCCACAATTAAGACCTAAGGGCCAGGTCTAGAAGCCCCACGTCTATAATTTCAATGCTTGGAAGGCTGAGGCAGGACAATTGCCACAAGTTAGAAGTCAGCCTGAGCTGCATTTGGAGTTACACAGCAAGAAGGGTCAGAGACACCAACAAAGCTCTCCAAAACTGCCCTGGTTTTCCTTACCACCTGTGTGGCTTCAGTTGCTGTGACTCACTCCGGAGCCAGACAAGCACTGCCTATACTGATATTTTCAAAGCTGCACGCGTCCTGCCATCAGGAAGCAATGGCCAGAAGATTAGTGGTAGATCAGCTGATTCTCCCTCCGATGTTCTGATTAAATAGAGCGTTCTGTATAGCATGTCCTAGGATAAACCGGCATGACAGAAAACTTTAACTTTTTCATGTTCTGATCGGATGCTGTCCTTGAAGACAGACCAAGAGGAAGCTGCGCCTTCAGCTGCCCAGGTTTGTCTGATTTCATTTTTTTTGTTCTTTTTCTTTGGTTCTTGTTACTGAAGCACCCAGGGTCTTTTGCATGGTAGGCAGGTGCTCCACCCCTGCACTGCATCCTCATCCCAGATTCTCAACCTATAAAGATGCTGGTCCCACAGAGACAGTGTCTAACTGCAGTTTGTCTGCCTCAAACCCTGGAGAACCACACCTAAGGAGCGAGAACATAACAACAGACTCTCTTTCTTGCCTAGACAGTGGACTTCCTCCAGTGTTGCTGTGAGCCTTCCCTACACCCTCCATTTCTCACACTCCAGGTAGCAAAGGAGAGGAAGAAGGCCTCGACTTTGACCCAACCCGTACAGTTTCTAAGCTTTTGGTTGATGCCTTCCCAAGGTGTTTTCTCACTGTGTCCTCAGAAGTCTACAGAATAAACGTTTCTATGCAGGAGACTTCCCTTTCTGTGCTCACCATTGCACAGCAAGAAGTGGGCAGAGGTGAGGTTTAAATTCAGCAGCATGCCATGAGATTCCGTGTTTTTATCCCTCCCCCCAGCTCATTCTCCATCTGTGCTGTGTTTCTCCTTCCGGAAGCTCTCTTTGCCTCCTTTCAGTACTTCAAGCGGGTTTCCCAGGAGACCGGAGGGTACCCTGCTCCCATCCACAGAGGCATTGGAGGCCTACGCCTCTGAAAAGCATCTCCATCATCTGTTGAATGGTAAAGCATCACTTTCTGAAATGGCTCCTTGCATCTTGATAGGATTTTTATCCTTTAAACTTTTACAGGGACTACAGGGATGGCTTGACCCGCTAAGAAAGATTATTGCCCCAGCAGAGGACCCAAGTTCAGTTCCCAGCCCCCATGTGGTTGGCTCACAACTACCTCTAACTTCAGCTCCGGAGGGTTTTGATGCTTCTGGCCTCAGTGGGTACCTGTGCTCGTGTGTACATGCTCAACACAGACACATACAGTATCTGTAATTTTAAAAAGATAAAGAGATAAATCTTTCAAAGGATAAATTTCCTGTGAGTTTCCATGAAAGAGCGACTCCAGTCATTACAAATATTCAGACTGCATCCCACGGCCACTCCTCTGAGAAACTCAAAGAAATGAAACAGAATATGGTGGCCTGGAGCAAAAACAAATAGTAGAAGCCTTTGAAGGAGGATGAAGAGGTAAAGGGAAAGATGAACTAATGGTCGCTCTCCCTATCTTCCAGGGCAGCTGCCTTTCATCCCCGGCATCTACTTTGGCTCCTCCCATAATCTTACGCAGAAAAGGGTGGTGCTGGGTTGTGTATAGAGTGGTATTGCATGTCTAGAATCCCCAGTCTTGGCATTCAAATTCCCTACATTTAGTCCTAGCAACTCCCCACCACGGCACTCTCCCTCTGCATGAAAACTGTGCCCTGGAGGAAGCACTTCACCTCTCCCTATCTTAATTTTCTCATCTGTGAAATAAGACAGCAGCCATCCTTGGGCTTTGGAGTTGACATGCACCTCAGGTAAAGAACAGGAGGCTCCACAGAGCAGCCACTGTGTACAAAACACACTGTGAAAGGCAACACGGTGGTCTTTTCACCACTGGCTTTTCCACGCCAGTGTTAACCACCTGTCTAAGTCCTGTACCCTATGGGCTCCCTGGACTCTGAAAGCAAAGACTCCATCCTTGTTCCACTAGCCCTGTGACAGCCCTGGCTAGCTACCTTGAAATGGTTTCTTGCTTAGCAGACTCTGGAAACAGAAAATGCCCTTGCATTTTCAAATGTGGTTTGGCATCGGATTCCTACAGAATAGACGTCTTCTGTTCTCATGGACAATGAATTGCTCCCAGTTTGGTCAGAGCGGAAGCCAGTTCCTCCGATGCCCTCCACCACTGGGTGAACACCATCAACAAAAACTACCCTCTTTGAGGTTTGAAAGAATCTTTCCTCCTTGGCCCATGTTAGACATGCTGGATGAAATCAGGGCGCTTATTTTATCTTCTCTGTTGGCAGTGCCCCAGCCCACTGAGCACTGGGAAAAACCTGAGGCTTTCAAATTCATGGGGCCATCAACTAAAAATACACTTCCACACACACTCTAAAAGGATCCCAATTTAGAGCCACAAGAAGTAATTCCACCAGAAACAGTGTCCTTCTCTGGGTACCATCCGAGGAGAGGACTTAACCAGCCCACACTTCCCCGCCTCGGTCGTGGGTAACGCCACAAGAAGAGTTCACGTTGCACAAGGGCTACAACAAAATCTCTTCAGCTCCCAGTGTCCTCCTACACACTCAGCAAATGGTGGTTTTTTTTCTTGGAGAAGCATGCGCCAACCCTTTAAGCTCTCTAAGGGAAAGGAACTCACTGTGAGTTAATAGAAAACAAGCC